ATGGACCAGTGTTGCATGAAGATATGCATCATACTTGGACACTAGGAACTGCTCAAGTTCTATCCCTCCAAAGGGATACACAGGAGTTGTGTGAAAACTGAAAAGTGACCGAAGGAACGGGACTCGGTTTCCAGGCCATGACTGTGCACCCTGGGTGTATATCAAGTAACACAGTTCCTCGGAACTTTGACACTGCCATGACTACCACCACACATGTCTGCTGTCGGTAACTTTAACACTGTGAAGGGATGAGATCATCTATCTCCAGGAGAAAAAGAGAAATGTGAATTCTGAGTATAAGAACTTAGACCATGCCTGTATACATGTGTGTAAAAACTGCTGCTGAGGGAAGAGAGCAGTAACACGAGAATGCAGTATCTCATTGGTTAAGGAGAAGGAAAAGGAGGGCCAACCATCTAAACCAGAGTTTAGAAAAAGTTAAATAGTTAATGGTCTTTAAACCATAGCTCTGGTGGGAAATTGTAGGAAGGAGATGCTGAAACTGGTTAGGCTTAAATGTTTGACAGAATGGAGACAGAAGAACAGGGGAGGTTGAAGAGAAATAGGACCCGGTACTTTAAACATACCGGAGTCCTTTCCATTATTGACCCCAGGAACTTTAAAGAAAGGATAACTAGAATGTGACTCGTGACCGAAAACTAAACTCCGTGGTTGTCAGAGCGCAAACCCTAATCGGAAATGCCTGTTTGAAAAGCAGCTATATGAAATAGGACAGTAGTAGAAACAACGCACACTGAGCCCTCCCTGTCGTATTAGTGTCTTCATCTGCTCCTCCATTCTGTCAGTCACAGGTTCATATCCTCTCAGAAGAGCTGGGAGGTCACCAGTCAAACTCCCGGCTCAAGGCTGGCAACCTGAGCAGCGTCATCCGGCTGGAGGCAGACACCCGAGACGGGTGTCATCCCTGTCTGTTACCTCTCCTCCTCCCTCCTAGACCCACGGATTTCACCGACTCCACCTCTCTGCCGCCATCATAAATCACACACATCTCCTCTACCCCAGCCTGTGTTCAGGGAGACACACGTATTTCTAACTCTGAAATGGATTCATCTCTTGCTCTCATTCCTATGGCTAACCTATTCTGTTCACTTCTTTCCATACACCTCACACGCCCAACATTTCAGCAGCAAGCATGTTTGCCCGAATGCTGCCAAGACAATTTTCTTATAATGACATCGCTTCATCACCTACTGTCTATGTTAGAAAAGCCGCAGGGCTTCCCCCTTGCGCCTAATTGAAAGGCATCTTCTCCTTCTGCCTTGAAACGGTCTACGCCCTGCCTAACGGCTCTGTAACATCCTTGTTTATGTTTCCCATGCCATGTGCTCGTTTCTCTCTGCAGCTGAGATTGCCTTTCTAGGTAGGAGAGATTCTTGAGAAGAGACAAGTCTTGCACTTCCACCGAGTCTCAGTATCAGTCCATGCTGCCCTCCATTTTGTCACCCTCTGACCTTTGCATACATGCACAAACCCCGTTTATCCCTGTCCTCATTAGGAAGTCTGTCCTGAGGGAACCTGGCAGAATGAGTGATGCCCAGTAGCTTCCCTAGAACGTTTGTTTCTCAGTCTACACTTTCATGGGTTTATGAGATAACATCTAGATTACAAGTATATTTTAGGCGGTGGGGGTGGGAGATGACCTCATCTCTATGTGCTTTCTCCTCCTCCCACAGTTCATTCAGTACCTAAGTCCTGCCTTGCATGAAACAGGTGATTGATAAATAGTTGTAGAAGTAAATAAATTTTCTTCATCAAATTTTATTCTAGATAAAATAAACTTAAAACCAAATTACTAATCAAAGCTTCTCAAGAAGGATGAGGACTGCATTTGATGACATAACTCTCAAAGGTCATTAACAGTGCTGTAGGTAAAGTCTAATCCAAGAGTGAGAGGGTCGTCTTTCTATGCCTTTCGTGTGATGTAATCAGTATTTCAGAATAATAGCTATTCATGTTGCCTGGCCCTGAAAGCAGCAAGAACACAATAAACAGAAATTTACTGTGGAGACTTTCTGGATGATGGAGCTATCTGCACCTCAAGCCGGATGAGATCATTAACTCAGTCACATGCGTGTGCCCAGATTGCGGTGGACCCGTGGACAAGGCTAGGATTTCAGTGATTTCACTTTGCTTGTTGTTCTTACATCAAAAGATATAATACGTGTTTGATATCTTCTATCCCAGCAGCTGACTTAAAACTGAAAGTCGATCAAACAGTTTGCTATTCTATGATACTTTCTGCATCGTTATGGTAGCACCCATGCACAATGACCAGTTGGGTCTGAAACCCTGAGCCACAGGGGCTGTCACTGTTTGCTACTTGGTGGTCTTGAGTAAGTCAGCGACCCCTGGAATGTGGCAGCAGCTGTACCTACTTCAGTTACTCATCTTAAAGACCAAGGGAGCACATAGTCAAGACCAGCTGCTGACCGTACTCTCCCATCTCGTGCCACGGTAATGAGCGAAACTGCCCTGCAATACTATGGAAAATTAAGGTTAGAATGAACTTTTCCTTGAGCTTTGGTTCTTTTTCTGTAAGATTATCTGGGCTTTCCCCACACCCCTTGGAAATCTGAGTACAACATCTAGAAAGTCTCTATTTTATTCAAAATCTTAAACATTTTTTTCCTTTAAAATTTATTTGTGTGGGTGTTTTTGCCTGCATATATGTCTGGGTATCATGTGCACTTTTGATGCCTGTGAAGGCCAGGAGACAGTAGCACACGGCCTGGAAATGGAGTTACAGATGGTTGTGAGCCACCATGGATGGAGGTGCTGGGAACTGAACTTGGGTCCTCTGGAAGAATAGCCAGTGCTGTAAACCACTGAGACATCTTCTCCAGTCTCAAACTTGTAGCATAAAGTTATTATTAGTAGTCCCTTGTTGTGTGTGTATATATATATAAAACATTTATTTAGTTATTTATTTAGTGTGTGTGTGTGTGTGTGTGTGTGTGTGTGTGTGTGTGTGTTTGCGCATGTGTAGAAGTCAGAGGCAACTTTCAGGAATCAGGTCTCTGTTTCCATTGTGTGGATCCCGGGATCCTGGGGTCAGACTAAAGACCTCAGCACCAGCAGCAGGTGCCCTTCTTCCTGAGCCAGCCCGTTACAATGCCCCTCCCACCCCGCCCCTCCAAGCTTTTGTTTGTTTGTTTTAGACAGGACCTTTCTGTGAAATGCTGCTGTCCCTCTGTCTCCAGAGTACTGAGATTAAATTTAGGCATGTGCCACCACACCTGGACCCCACCCCGTGTTTAATACCTGCTGTACTCACATGATTTTTAAATCAGGAAACAGTTAGCATCTGAAAATTTGCTTTATATATATATTTAGTGTATGAATAGATACAAAATTAAAATAACCAGTTCAAATTTTAAAGTTTCCTCTTGCAGTAATATGGGAAAATAAAATATCTTGCATTATACCCTCCCTTAATTCAATGTCACTGGAGTGTACTTAGTTTTCTTATGGGGCTTGAAATGAGGTCCTGATCTATGCGTTTTTCCTTGTTCCCTATACCTAACCTTGACGTGGGGAGCAAGATCTACTCTGTTGTCCCCCCACCCCAGTCAGATGCAGGAGGCATAGACAGGACCCACAGCAACAATACAACTATCTGGTCACTATGCACATAGAAAGGCTGATTCAGAATATGAATCCAACTTGGGAGTCTTTAAAAAATAATCAAAGATTTTACAGCCAAAACTTTGTAAAAAGACTTGATTGGATTTTAGGGGCATTTAAATTCTACTATAATTACCATGAACACAGAAACAAATCACAAATAAGGCTGAAAAAATGGGTAGTCCACATCTCCATATATGACATTTTGTATTATATATACATATAATATACACACAGTAAAACCCTCATTGAAATTTGAGCCAAAACCAAGTGTTTTGAAATAAGATTTTGTTTGAGAAAAAAAATCCCTTGTGATTTATTCTTGCAGTGTTACCAAGTCACAGGGCAGAAAAGGGGGCTTGAGCAAACACTGCTTGTCCCCAGACTGTGCCAGCCTCTCCAGACAGTCCACCTCATGCTTCATCTTAGTGAGGCTTTTCAAAGCCCCTGCTGAGGGGGGAGGAAGTGAATTAATTTAAATATGAAAACATCAATCAAGACTCAAAAGATGACTATGGGAATGAAAAATTAGGCACGATAAGTTGTCCATTTTGTGAAACCTTCAAAAGGGACCGGAGTAGACCCTGAGCACTGGGAAACTCAAAGGGAAAAGGTGCTTCATCACATGTGTGTTCAGCATCATACCTCAGGAGGTTTGAACTCTTCAATTCCACCTTCCATTTTCTGCTTAAGCGCACTGTTTACTTGCTTAGCATTCTGAACCTTCACAAAATAACAAGAATGTGAGTCAGACCATGCACTTAGCACATTTTTATGAGCACTACATAAATGAACAGGACATATCATCAAAACCATTTTAGGTTCAGTTCAGCAGAACAGACATAGTCATTATCACACCGCAGCGTGCCGTGCCATTTAAGTTGCACAAACTTGGTAGGTTGGTGAGACTGAGTAAGACAACAACACAGATCTCAGGGCTTCTCTCTGGGTAGGCAAACATTTTACCACTGAGCTACTCTCATCTTAAATCACATGATTTTTTTTCTTTAAGAAATAAAAAATTATTTAAGAAATTCATATATGTTCCAAATGAAAAGTCCTTTGTTCTTTTTTGTTTGTTTTGTTTTTGTGAGACACGGTTTCTCTGTGTAGTCACAGCCATCCTGAAACTCGCTCTGTAGACAAGACTGTCCTTGAACTCCGACATCCGCCTGCCTCTGCCTCCCAAGTGCTGCTGGAATTAAAGGGCTGCTGTAGGCACACCTGTAGCCAGCCCCTAAGTAGGCGTGGCTACAGATTCCCCTACAGGCTGTGCCACCACTGCCCCGCTAATCCTGTTGTTCTTTTAGTTTACAGTCTCTAGACATCATTTAACAGTGTCTTTTGTAACCACAGGCAGCTGGAATACACAAAGATTAGACTCTATCACCATCTCTCGTTAGTATAAGGTTCTGACAAAATGGCAACTGGCCTGTAATAATAATGATGACCATGCCTAACATTTGCTAGGTATGAAGCATCATTCTTGATACATTAAAAAATTGCTCAATTCTCAGGCTCATTCTGTGTATAAGATACAATTAGTTCTGTTATAACATAACGTTCATGTTCTGAAAAGTTATTATATTAGGAAAATCTTCAATTAAAAAACCAACATCTTATGGGGAAGGGATACTTATTGGGCAGAACATTCAAAATCTTCAATGAGAAATATGAAAAGACAGGAATCTAGCAAAAATGGTTATTTTACATTCTCTAAATTGTTAAGAAAGGCATAAAGCTACAGTAAAGATGGCAAAAAGACGTTCCAGTTAGTGTGAAGACGGGAGTAAGGCAGTCTCTGAGTTACTGTACAGTAGAAAGACGGCTACTTGTGATTCTCCCCACATTTGACATCAGATACAGTGCCACACAATGGAGCCGTGTGTGTGTGTGTGTGTGTGTGTGTGTGTGTGTGTGTGTGTGTGTGTGTGTGTGTGTGAGTGTGTGTGTGTGTGTGTGAGTGTTCGGTCAACTTGGTGTAGTTTTTCACAGACAGAAACCATATGCTGGCCCATACGAAACTCATACTATGCTCAAATTGTTCCCTAGTATATCAGAGCACTGGGACAAACGGATGTTTTCAGAACAAGAGCTGGAATAGATCTGACCCTGCTCCCGCTGGGATCATCCACATAAGGTAAAAATGTAAGACACACAGAGTGAAGAAACCTTTAGGGTAATCATGTAGGAAGGACAACCTAAGTTGTCTGGTTTGTTTTTCAACGGGATGAGCAGCCACTCTTCCTGTCAGAGTATGTGGAGTAAATCAAGGGATGGTTTAGACTAAATCAGCTGGCCATGTTAGAAAACACACAGAGGAAAAGGGAGAGGGAGAGAGGGTAAGACAATAAAGGAGAGTGGTAGGGAGAAATGTTCCAAAGGAGATAAAACCTAAACCAAGTTCTAAAGCATTCAGCTGGCAACTAAGGTTGGAAGACAGAATGAACTCTAGGCACATAGCTTTGAGGAAAAGGGGAAGAATGCAGGACCAGGGCAAAGAACCACGCAGTATGCCAAGGAATTTCAATTTTGCCTCAAGACTGAAGAAAAGTGAAGATTGTTTTAACCAAGAGAACACGATCACATTTGCTTTTCAGAAAGGCATTCCTAATAGTAATGTGGAAGACAGAAGGAGATGAGAGTTTACATTAATATAATTCACGTCAGAAATATTAATTATACAATTAAGAAACCTCTCTTTAAGAATAGGAATGAAGATTATCCGGTCGCTGGTGGAGCACACCTTTAATCCCAGCACTCGGGAGGCAGAGGCAGAGGCAGTGGGATCTCTGTGAGCTCGAGGCCAGCCTGGTCTACAAGAGTGAGTTCCAGGACAGCCTCCAAAGCCACAGAGAAACCCTGTCTCGAAAAACCAAAAAAGAAAGAAAGAACAGGAATGATGGGGTGGTGGTGGTGCACACCTTTAATCCCAGCATTCAGGAGGCAGAGGATCTCTGGATCTCTATGAGTTCAGGGTCAGCCTGGTCTATGTAGTGAATTTCAAGACAGCCAAATGCTATGTAGAATGACACTACCAAAACAATCAATCAATCAAACAACAACCAGAGTAACTAAGAAACAAAACTGAGACCCTTTTTGTCAAGATGACTGTAGAAACTCAAGCGTATCATGCATGATGGTCAGTGGAGTAGTGAGTGTGGGGTGCTCACGACAGACGCCGGGGAGTTGGGAGACAGCCACTAGGTTGGTGTGAGAGAAGGTGCTACTAACAGAAAACTACTGTGTGAAACAAATGTATCTTGGAAAATAAAAAAGAAAACTTTACTATGTTACACATTAAATGAATAATCAAGGAAAGAAACTTAAAATAGCCCACAAGTGGCTGGTAAGATGGCCCAGTGGCTAAGTGCTTGAGCCACCAAGGCTGATGACTTTAGTCTGATGAAGTTGTAAGGAGAAAACTGAGTCCTGTAGGTTGTCCTGTGACCTCCACAAGGGTGCTGTGCTCTATGGGTGTGCACAGACACAAATAAATCAACAAACATAAATGAATGAATGAATGAATGTTAAAATAAATTATGAAGAAACGCCCATAAGCACTAAAGTAGAATTGCAAATGGAGATGATGGGCCTCCTCCCCCCCTCCTGTGGGGTCTCAAAAGATTATAGACAAAGTAGCTAGACCAACGGTTCTCAGCCTGTGGGTTGAGACCCCTTTGGGGTCAAAGAGCCCTTTCACAGAGGTTGCCTAAGACTTTCAGAAAACAGATATTATAGTTATGAAGTAGCAACAAAATAATTTTATGGTTGGGGGCTCACCAGAACATGAGGAACTGTATTAAAGGGTCACAGCATTAGGAAGTTTGAGAACCACTGATCCACGAGATTTCCATGGAGAAGTGCTATAGTCTGGAAGATGAGAGTCTTTGACACAAAACCAAACAAGAAACAGGAACAGAAGACAAGAAAGGCCAGATGCCCAAGAGCCACATGGAGAGCTCACTATGCCAGCCAGTGCTTTAGTTCCCATCATGCGTGGTCTTGTTTCCAACCCTGTATGCTAACTCACGTCCAGAGGACATGGAAGCAGAGAGAAGGTAAAAGGAAAGACAAGCTGTAGTCAGCTTAGATGAACTGACTCAGGTTGTTCATAATCACAACCACTTAATTATGGCAACTCTTTTTTATTAGTAGCAGAAATTATCAGTTGATTTTCATAAGGTCTTACAAAGTTTACATACTAGGGTCTTAGTGTTAAAAAGCCATGTGGACATTGAAAAACTACTGTTACTACTACAATCCACAATGAGGACGGCACAGTTATGACTCACTGAGGAGTCACAGAGTGCCCAACAACCTACACAGAGCATTACCAACAGCCTTCAGCAACTTGCCAGACAGTATGGCTATTGTTCCTTGTTTCACAGGAATACTGGAGGCCCTTGTGAGCTGTGGAATTTGCTCAGAATCCATGCTGATGGGTAGCCATGCTGGGATTTTCATATAGAATTGCAGAGGAATTTCATCAGCTATACCAGGCTGGAGATGTGGCTCAGCAGTACAGTACCACAGTTGAGGCTGTGGGATCAAGTCTGCACCCCAAAACAAACACTGCCCCCCCAAACCAAACTACAGAGTTCAATCCAAACAAAAGCAGATGGACAAATGGACAAAAATCATAAAAGACACCAGTTTTGTAAGATACCTGACGCTTTAGAGAGATCAACTCCATGTCCAGTTGCCTCAGGATAGTGTTGGCTGCATTGGGACTACAGGAAACAGCCACCACGTCCTCCTGGGTTAAATACATGCCCTTAGGTGGGCGGCACTTGGAACGCTGCGAGTGATGGCGGTGCTGTAGGCTCTGGTAGTCCCTCCTCCCGAGGCCAACCTTGCTGGTTTGGACGGGCTGTTCAGTGTTACCCTAAGCGAACACAGCAGAAGAACAAGGCCTTTGATTTTCATAAATGTATACAGAGTAAACAATCTACTACAAATAGAAAAATCTTCGGTACTGCAAAAATACCCCAACAAGTCTTATTATTTACAAGTCCAAATAAGACACACACACACACACACACACACACACACACACACACACACACACACACTGGGGTGTAGATGACACCATGACAGCATATATTTTTGACTTATTCAATAAATGTTTAGTTTTTACATCCTGAGGACTATGAATATAGAAAAAATAAGTTACACTGTAAATTCTTCCCATTTAGTATACAATGAAGAACAAAGCAACAACTTTGCCCCAAACTACAAATTATACATATAAAGGTCTACAAAAAGAACAATACAGAAAAAAGACAATTTAGGCATCACATGCATTTTGGGCAGCTGGTAAAAAGAGGAAGGTTTTACTTTTCTTGGCATTTCAGAACAATGTATGACTTTTGTGGTCAGAATGGGCACATGATGACCCTGACTCTTATGATATGGACACTGTCAAATGTGTGCATGTGGCTTGTAGATAATAAAACTCCAAACCCCAGTATTAGGTATCATCAGCTCATGCCCCAGAGGAGTTAAAAAAAAAAAGTTGTTCCTGTAGTGATGACAATGAACTATTAAGTGGTGTTAATACTGAATGTCCTAAAATGGAAGCACGGTGTCACTTTGTGTTTCTGAGAGGACTCCATTAAGACCTGGCTCATCTTCCTGACACCTTAAGAAGTGGGGTTGAGTTCACAGAACCGCAGAGTCAAGTGAAATTCACCTCACTGCTGGGGACTCAAAGCAGAGAGACGCTCCTAAAGTCTTTGGATCAAAGGTTCTCCAAGCTGGCAGTGAAGTGAGGCCATTCCTCAGCAGCCTGAGACCATGAGAGGAGAATTCAGAGGGAGATGGCAGAGGCCTGAAGCTCCAGGCTTCAGTGGGAGCCATGCAGGGCACAAGAGACAAGGCAGGATGCTAGAAGGCACACCCATCAATGTGCAAAGCAGGGAAAATAACCGGCCACTCGCTCCACCAAAGGAGAGGGCTGGAGCCAGTCATGCCTGTGCCAGCTTTGGCTGAAGAAAAGAAACACTGAGAAGTCTTCCCTGAGAACCCCCAACCAGATTCTTGCCTCAGCCAGGTTTAGGCCCTAAATTTAAATGATCTATGTAGCTTGAGAAGTGCCAAATAAAACATTTTAGAGGCTTAGGATGGTAGTGCCTAAACACACTTAGAAACAAATGCAGATGCTGTTTGGAAGAACATACATACTCTAATCTCAGGTCTTAGAGATGTGTATGAACTTCTAAAAGATATTCCTCAGGAAAAAAAAAAAAAGAACAAAAAAAGGACCACAGCAAGAAAGAATGGTGACCCAAATAAATATGCACATTAAAAAACAGCAAAAAAGAAAACACCAAATTTAAGTTTGAATAAGCTAAAGAGAAAAACAAAACAAGATTTGACTAAAACTGTGGGTTTTTACACAAATCACAAACTGGTAGGGTTTGGAGTCAAAGTGTCTGCTGATCAGAAAGTCCCTGGGAATACTGGCGCTGGAATCTAACTTAAATATAGAAGACAAAAATCTCCTGAGTACACAAGAATAGAAATACAGGAATAGCTAGCTCAGAGTAGCAGACAGTAAAATGATGGAATATATACGTCTCTAAAATAGGCCACAGAGGGAAGAATCCAGAGAAGGCAAATTGGCTTGGGGAATGGGCTCAGCACAGAAAGCGTTTGCTGTGCAGCAGGAGGACCGGGTTTCGAGCCCCAGTCCCCACACCAAAACCCAGCACAGCAGCAAAGTCCACAACCCCAGCACTGGGTGCAGAGAGACAGGGCTCCTGGAAGCTCACTTGCCAGCTTTGTTTAGTTAGAACAGCAAGCTCCGTGAGAGACCTTGCCTCAAAAAGAAAAAGAAGGTTGCCGGGTGTTGATGGCGCACGCCTTTAATCCCAGCACTCGGGAGGCAGAGGCAGGCGGATCTCTGTGAGTTCAAGGCCAGCCTAGTCTACAAGAGCTAGTTCCAGAACAGCCTTCAAAGCAATACAGAGAAACCCTGTCTCAGGAGAAAAAAAAAAAAAAAAAAAAAAAAAAAAAAAAAAAAAAAAACCAACTAGGAAGAAATCATTTTCTAAAGTGAACCCTGGGGCTGAAGAGAGACAGTGGTCAAGAGCAGGCTCTGCTCTGGCAGAGGCTCTGAGCTCTGTCACCTGCACTAACACTGGGTGGCTCACAACAGCCTGCAACTCCAGGTCCAGGACTTCCACAGGTACCTGGCTCATGATGCACATATTCACGCACAGCACGCATAAAGACACATGATTAAATTTGTCTATGGCTCAAGGAAGCAAAAGCAAAGCAGACAGGAGTGATGAAGAAATTAAAGGATCTGAAAGTAGCTTGGCGCTTGAAAATTATTGAAGTCTAAAAATCAGGAGAGTTAGAAAACATCAGGTTGAGGTCATTCGGGATCTTAAAATGTCATTAATGGAGAAATTTGAAGGCAAGGTCAGGAACCGACAGGGACAGAGTCTTCTGACCATGATGGTTGCTGGGGAAATGACACACTTCACATAGGTGGACACCCAGGTGAAGACAGAGCCGGCGGCCACCTCCACTCCAGGGCTGTGCCCACTGCTTACTCCAAAGTTGCCTCACCTGTCAACGCTTGGAATGCTTTCCAAATGCACAACTCCTTACCTGATGAAATGGCATGGGTGTCAGTTTAGCCTTTGCTTAATGACTGTAAGTCTCCTGACTGTCGGCATACCGAGACAGCACTTTCCTATGGGCACTCTTCCCCCTCTCACTGAGCCAGCTGTCAGAGTTCACGCCATATACCTGCCACTACTGTCTAATTGGCTATAACATGGAAAAAACACTTCTGAGAAACATTGGGTAACAAAACAAGAAACCCTAAAATTTTACCCAACAAATCTTACCATGTAAAGGTGAGCTTGATTTTTTTTCTAATGGATTAAAGACTAAGAATTTCGACAGACCCGTTTCATCTGTGACTGGAGGAGATAACTCAACACTACTACTTAACGGGTAGTAGAGGTTCTAAATATTACAGTAGTTTCTAAATTTGAAATCTACTTTCTAAACCATTAATACAAAAAAGTCTCCCTTCTCTTCCTGAAAGATTTATTTTTAAATGTGTGTGTGTGTGAGTGTGTGTGTGTGTGTGTGTGTGTGTGTGTGTGTGTGTGCGCGTGCGCGTGCGCACTAAGGCCAGGGGTGTTAGATCTCCTGGAGCTGGAGTTACAGGAAGTTATAGGCCATACCTGAGCACTGGGAACCAATCTCCAGTCCTCTAAAAGGGTAGTAAGTGCTCTTAACCACCATGTCATCTTTACAACTCTCCTTTTTTCATCTTATTTTTGAAACAGGGTCTCATTGTGTAGTCCTGGCTGGCCTGGAACTCTCTAAGTAGACCAGGCTGGCCCCAAATGCAAAGATCCACCTGCCTCTGCCACCCCAATGCTGGGATTAAAGGCCTGTGCCACTGTGCCTGGCTCTAGGCCTCTTTAACCCCATTGATACAGAGTGCTAAGTCGTCAGTCTTTATGGTCAGGCGACCGTAGCAGGCACCAGGACTTCTAAGGATCATCACCTCTTTTTTGGCTTCCTTTTTTGGGTCATAGTCACTGTCATTCCCGTCCACTGGGTGTGTGTCTTCCACATCATCGTCACTGAAAGAAACAAGATTAGTGCATCTTCTGGTAACCGCACTACACATTCCTAAGAATTGCCACTGGGAAGAACATCTGTTCACCTGGGTTTCAAAAGTTCTAAGAAACATTCATCCTTTGGGGTTTACAGAACCACTTAAGCAATATTGTTAGCTAGAAAAGTAAGAGATGTCGTGGGAAAGAAATTTACAAGTACCACTTGGGAAGAGAAGACATGCAGCTTGATGGAAGGCTGGTAACTTCAGCTCTGTCTGTACTTGGCATAAAGAGACAAAACACAGTCATAGTAATGGGGACTTGAGCTACTCAGCGATGTCACTTCAGTAAACATACAAAGACCATCTTGCACAGAGCATGGTCTTTAATATATTTGTGTGTGGAGGACTGGGGTGGAACCTAGGCTCACCTTACAAATACCAGTGCCCTGCCACTGAGCTATATCCCCAGGGAGTCTTGGATTCAGTGAACAGCCAGAAGGAAGCCTTAGAGTAGAGAAGTTCTTACAATCAAGACTTCTGACCACTTGGATCTTCCTCACAGCACAGACAGTGCTGTGGTAGCTTCTTGTCTTATGAAAAATACACAACCCAGTGGAAAGTCCCCAACAGTGCATCAAGGTAGAGCATTCAACCTACCTGTCACCCTGATTATGCCTATTGGCCAGTTTACGGGCCTGGCGATCCATCAAACTTGTCCTTGAGCGAGTTTTTTTCCAAGAATAGTAATACTTTACAAGACTTGCAATTGTCTTATCTGGAAGCTTAAAAAAAATTGCTGTTACTATTAGAAAGTTTAATTCATAAACTCTGATGGACAAATGAATACCAATGTCATATTCTTTGATAATGAAGGCATAATATGGAAACTATGTCATGGGCACCTGTATGAGTGAAAAGAACATGGACTTCTGAGTGACTGGGTGGTGATGGAGCATGCTTTTAATCACAGCACTCAGGAGGCAGAGGCAGGGGGATCTCTGTGAGTTCCAGGCCAGCCTGGTCTACAAAGCAGAGTGAGTTCCAGGACAGTCAGGGCTGTTACACAGAGAAACCCTTCCTGGAAAAACCCAGAAAGACTTCTGAGCAGCAGGGGAGATATAAGAAGTGAGCTTGAGAACCAAAAAGCACAGGTAACAGTCACAGTCCTCATCACACCAGTGTTACTGACTGACTGTTAATAGTCACAGTCCTCATCACACCAGTGTTACTGACTGACTGTTAATAGTCACAGTCCTCATCACACCAGTGTCACTGACTGTTAACAGTCACAGTCCTCATCACATCAGTGTCACTGACTGACTGTCAGTAGTCACAGTCCTCATCACATCAGTGTCACTGACTGACTGTCAGTAGTCACAGTCCTCATCACATCAGTGTCACTGACTGACTGTCAGTAGTCACAGTCCTCATCACATCAGTGTCACTGACTGACTGTCAGTAGTCACAGTCCTCATCACATCAGTGTCACTGACTGACTGTCAGTAGTCACAGTCCTCATCACACCAGTGTCACTGACTGACTGTCAGTAGTCATAGTCCTCATCATATCAGTGTCACTGACTGTTAACAGTCACAGTCCTCATCACATCAGCGTCACTGACTGACTGTCAGTAGTCACAGTCCTCATCACACCAGCGTCACTGCCTGTCAGTAGTCACAGTCCTCATCACACCAGCGTCACTGCCTGTCAGTAGTCACAGTCCTCATCACACCAGCGTCACTGCCTGTCAGTAGTCACAGTCCTCATCACACCAGCGTCACTGCCTGTCAGTAGTCACAGTCCTCATCACACCAGCGTCACTGCCTGTCAGTAGTCACAGTCCTCATCACACCAGCGTCACTGCCTGTCAGTAGTCACAGTCCTCATCACACCAGCGTCACTGCCTGTCAGTAGTCACAGTCCTCATCACACCAGCGTCACTGCCTGTCAGTAGTCACAGTCCTCATCACACCAGCGTCACTGCCTGTCAGTAGTCACAGTCCTCATCACACCAGCGTCACTGCCTGTCAGTAGTCACAGTCCTCATCACACCAGCGTCACTGCCTGTCAGTAGTCACAGTCCTCATCACACCAGCGTCACTGCCTGTCAGTAGTCACAGTCCTCATCACACCAGCGTCACTGCCTGTCAGTAGTCACAGTCCTCATCACACCAGCGTCACTGCCTGTCAGTAGTCACAGTCCTCATCACACCAGCGTCACTGCCTGTCAGTAGTCACAGTCCTCATCACACCAGCGTCACTGCCTGTCAGTAGTCACAGTCCTCATCACACCAGCGTCACTGCCTGTCAGTAGTCACAGTCCTCATCACACCAGCGTCACTGCCTGTCAGTAGTCACAGTCCTCATCACACCAGCGTCACTGCCTGTCAGTAGTCACAGTCCTCATCACACCAGCGTCACTGCCTGTCAGTAGTCACAGTCCTCATCACACCAGCGTCACTGCCTGTCAGTAGTCACAGTCCTCATCACACCAGCGTCACTGCCTGTCAGTAGTCACAGTCCTCATCACACCAGCGTCACTGCCTGTCAGTAGTCACAGTCCTCATCACACCAGCGTCACTGCCTGTCAGTAGTCACAGTCCTCATCACACCAGCGTCACTGCCTGTCAGTAGTCACAGTCCTCATCACACCAGCGTCACTGCCTGTCAGTAGTCACAGTCCTCATCACACCAGCGTCACTGCCTGTCAGTAGTCACAGTCCTCATCACACCAGCGTCACTGACTGACTGTCAGTAGTCACAGTCCTCATCACATCAGTGTCACTGACTGACTGTCAGTAGTCACAGTCCTCATCACACCGATGTCACTGACACTGCTGAGCCAGTGTTCCTGTCTTCTTCTGGGATGGTGGTGGTGGTAGGGAAGATGTCACAAACTAACTTAATGAGAATGTCCCCTAGGTTCCTGGCATGGCCATGCTGTCATTCAGCATTTGCTTCCTCAGGGCCGCTCAACTCTCTTTTCTCTAGTTTAGAGTCTTTGGGAAATGACTGACATTAACATGGGCTCATACCACAGAGTCACACGGTGTGGGCGCTTTGAGTCTGCCTCTCTCATGTCTCAAACACGAGCCACTTGGGGTACTTCACAGTCTACTTTCAAAGTCACTTCCATTTTAAATCTAGATTTCAGTTAACAATGCAGACGGGTCTTGACCACTGAACGGCCTTTGACTATTACAGTGGTGTGTCACACTGGCAACTAGGATGAGAACTACCTACCTTTGATTATGGAAGCCATGCATATGCAGAGACATCATTATAATGTACAGAATGCCAGCTTAGCACATGCCTATTGTTTTGGTGCAGCACTAACCATTTTAGAGCTAGCCATATAGACTATAGCAACTGGCAATACAGACATTTTTCCTTGAAAAAACAAAAGCCAAAACAGCACCAGTAATCCCCAACGGTTACCAGACAGCGCTGACGTAACACATAGACTTAAGATGGGCTTCCATGTTGGAATTATGCTGGTCTTGAATTTCTGTATTACTTCAGTACTGTCTTTTTATTGGTCTGTCCAGTTCCTAGTGGTCAGCCTTGGGTACGTGGTACAAGCGAGCAATACCAAATGGTCTCAGCAGGTTGTACGTATCTGTGCATGTGAGTGTGCATGCATAGACACAAATATGTAACAACAATAATTAAAGTGGTCGTGAACGTGATGGGAGGTGGGGAGCGTGGGAAGAGTCAAGGAGAGGAGTGATGTGCACACAGTGTTCACATTCTCTCAAAAAATTACATCAAAGATGAGGACTTTCACATACAAGATGAGAGAAAATCCTGACGTTAAAAATTGAAACATGAAAAAAATTAAATTAAATTCTTACCCCCCCCCATAAAAAATCAACCACCAAACTTAGCACCTATCACTCACTTGAGACCAGATCAAAGCCAATTCATTAATGTGGAAGCATAAACCTGTTATGCATGGATGATTGCAGAAAATATTGTATGCCAATGCACCCGTTTCAGGTACTTTTTAATGTTAAAATGGAAAACATTTTATACTTAATAGGAAGGAAGTATTCAACAGTATCATGAGACAATTATTGTAACGGTAATCTAGTAAGACAGAAATCACCATACCATTTGCTGAATCCTGTGGAAGCTCTTCCCGTGAAAACTGAAGGCTTGTTCAAATAGGACTTTGTCCTCCACAGTCCACTCATCCGGAAAGGGAGTGAAGTTAGGAAGGTCAGCAAGGGACTTCTCAATGTTATGTTTATGCCAGAACAGCATGCCAAGCGCCTTGGAAGGGAAAACACCCTTTACTCTAATGGACTGGCTTCCACCACTCTTAGGAGTTAAACACAAATCACATTACAATTTCGAGCCTATGACTTCAGCTTAAGGTAAACTCAGCTTGGGACCTTTAACAGGGTAATATTTTAAATTGGAGCCTCAGAACAAGTGTTTGTGTATGTCATATTTGTTGCAGAAGTAAGAGAAAGAGCCACTTGGAGTGACTAACTCTGAAGCTCACAGCATTTTATCACTTTGTCAAAGTGTAGGGAAAATAGTCCAAAAGAAAGCTATCCAGTAAGTGCCTGCAATCAATAACTGGATAAAATTATCAATTGTAACACAAGATCCAGAAATATCCAGTTGGACTTAGCAGAGAAATGCAAAGCTTTAACCTTTTAGAATTGCTATACACTAAATAATTCTAAGATTTCAGGGTACTTTCACTACAACTACCGCAATTTATTTTGTCTCATATTTGATAAAATATTTGTATATTTATTTTGTGTTACCGTTATATATACATACAATTATTAGAAGTCATCTAAATAACTTCAATGAATTCATTGGTAATTCATTTCTAAAAATGTATTACTTTCCCCTCTATTTTAAGTAGCAAGGTTCTACCTTTACTACAAGGTATTAAGTATTATTTAAAGAATAAACTTTCATTCTGTTTTAAAAAAGAGAGAATTTTTAGTGGTGAGTTTAAAAGTAAATTTCTGTATTTTGATAATAGAATTGTAACATAAAGATGAAAATGAACCAATATACACCCATATTTTGGAAGATTAACTTTCTCAAAGATTAACAAAGAAGGAATGCCTCTAATCCCAGCACTATGGAGCCAGAGGCAGGGGGATTCTGTGAGTTCGAGGCCTGGCTGGTCTATATACTGAGCTCTGGGACAGCCAGGAATACATAGAGAGACAAACAAGATGGATTATAGGCATGGATATAATCCCAGCCCTGGGGAGGCAGAGGTCGGAGGATCACTGCAAATTTCAAATTCCAGGCCAGTCAAGGTTATAAAGCACTTGCACAACCACAAACCACTTCCCAAACAAGCAAACAAACAAACAAAAACTAAAGATGTGACATGGGCCGCTGAAAGCTTCAAAGAGTTAGTTTATCTCTATAGATAAGCATGCCAGTTTCCAAAACCTTACACAGATTAGTGTAGCTTGGTGAGGTGGGCTCCCAGCGATCCACTTACACAGATTTGATCTTTCTCTCTAAGCTGGAAGGGCTCTAAGAGTCCCTACCTCAAAGCAGGAGGCAGTGGCATATGCCTACAGCCCCAGCTGTGGCGGACAGGTTGATTGCCTGCTTGGGTAACATAAGGAGACCTGATCTTCTGGCATGAAACAAAGAGAAGGAAGTGACGGCAGGAGATGGCCTGACATTGACCTCTAGCCTCCACAGGCCCACACGCGCCAGCACACACATGTGAGCACACACACAAACACATACACATGTTTCTCTACATACCTGTTCCACGTTGTAGCCATGCTTCTCTTTTGCAATGGCGATGTATTCATCCACTGTAATGGAACGATGGTATCTCGTTACTTTCAGAACCTTCAGTTTCTCAGATCTAGTTTTCTTTTTTTTAACATGCCAAGATAATTTATTATTCTGAGTAAAAAAAAAAAAAAAATAGCCGAAGCTACTAAAGGAGATTTGCACACAGAATCGGTGGCTCCTCACCTGGCTTAGCATTTCATTTAACCTGATAAGCCTACGACCATATGTGACATAATTACTAAATTACTAAATTAAGGGACGTTACTATAATTATTTTCATATGCTGGCCATTACCCTTGTGAAGGAGACAGTGGAACCTAATTACACTGCAGAATCCTAAAATAAGCCTGGAATGCTTGGCTATATAAGACCCTTTCTCATATTTGTAAACGAGGATGACTTGTCTACAGTTCTGCAGGCTGTACAGTATGGTAGGTGGATGTGTGTGAATGTCCCTGACGCTCCTTTAGCTCTTCTATTCGTTTCACAGGGCTCGGGTACCCGGTTTTCACTTATCCGCCGTATGCAACCAAATGAACAGAGTGTCCCAGATACGCAGTTTTAATGGTGATGTGCTGGGCAGCTCAAGGCCTTGTAATGGGTGGTTTTCAAGAGCCACTTTTAGGTGGTGTCCACAGTCACTCCTTTATCCTTTTACAATTTTTTTTATGCGTATGTACATGTAACTAATTCCTTAAACCCATTTCTAAGAAGCGGAAATCTTTAGAATTCTGACCTGGAATAGCCACTCTCTACCTGAACTCACTTTTCTCCTCATTTCTCTCACTTCTAACTTTGCAGGGGTGATTTTAACTTTTGTACCTTAGTTTCCAGCTCTAAACTCATGATAAAACAATACAGACTCTCAGGATTGAATGAGTTAACACCCAGAAGATGCTCGGTAGTGTGTGGCACTTCCTAAGTACTTCTAAGAATCTGCTATTGTTGAACATTACAATTAATACATTAATATGCTATTGTAAGTATTCTGTGATAGCTATTTTTAAATGAATGCTGTATTATGTTTCCCCAAGTATAATCTGATACAGAAAGTCCAAGTATTATATTTTGTTTAGAATCTGCTTAAGTACACTACAGACATAGATAGATGCTGACTGAATACAACAAAAGTATATTACAGTCCTTTCGATAGCAAATTAAGTAATACCAACTGACCAGAAGTGGTCTCTGCCCTGGCTGGGCATTAGAACCAATGACAGGGCTTTAAAAGCATGTTCAGGCTTTGCCTCTGAAGATGTGGGCTACTCAGACAACAATACACCAATACCTTTGAGAGATTCTAACACACAATACAACCAGGGTTGGCTGCTGCCACAGACCTGCTCTGGACCTCCCTGTGGACACCATCCTAATGGTCACAGTACCTTCCCGCATTTGGTTTTCCACTCTGCTAGAAATGCACCATTGGACCAAACAGTGAAACCCATGACGCCTGATGCTTGTTTTATGAATGAAATCTGGTGTGCAACAATGAGCAAACCTCTCTCAGGTTCTCAGTGTGTTTCTTATTGAATGCCTCCAGGGCACAGGATCCCCAGCTTGACAGTGGGTGACACCTGGCTGACCCCTCTAAAGCTTAAGTTAGGAAGATCACTAGGTATGCAGACACATACCCACTTTCCAGTTTTGTTTTTTTGTTTTTTTTTTTTTAAATCTCAATTGCATTGATTAGCATGATTAGATTTACGTACAGGATAGACAGGACACTACTATTCTTTCCTCAAGACTTCATAAATCACAAAACACATATACGTTCAAACAATGGTAGGAAATGCTCTTAAAGACAGGCGGGCCTATTTCACATCTGCTGGAATGGCTGTTTAGTGTAGCTGCTGTGGCTATCTAAGAGACTGACAGCTGAATGGAGGGTGGGGATCTTAGCGTTGTTACCTGTGTGTTTCCTATATCTGATGTGCCGCAAAGGGGTCAGGTCCGCTACATCACACTGAAGTCTAAAGCCATGGGTCAAGAAGTGCATGGTGAGGGCTCCAGAAGGTCTCCGTCCAGAAATGGAGGGCACAAGATGACCTGAGGGCTGCAGTCACTTCTCTCACCTTCCCTCTTTAAATGGTAATGGGAGTGGGCTCTCTGAAGCTCCAAGGCATTTCTTTTACTGCTCCATAGACTGAGGAAAAGCCTGTGCAGATGTCTACATAGTAACTCCCTCCCCTGCTTGAGGATGTAAGCAGCAAAGCCATCAGAGCCTAGGGTTTTTGCATTCATGGGCCTGACACAAACTGAAATGATCAGATTCACTATCTTTCAAAAGGAAAAAAAAAAAAAAAAAAAAAAAAAAAAAAAAAAAAAACCAAAACATTCTAACACAATGGAGGTTCCCATTAAAAGAAGAAAACAAAGGTAATTCAGTTCTTCACAGAACCTAAGAGACTAAGAGACAGATGCAAATTACATTTTGAACAGACTGATTCCCTATGGATCTTAACACCCAATCTCAGAAAACAAACAAACAAAAAACAAAAAACAAAAAAACTTACATTTGGCATCTGGGACAGTGTGGTAAGGCGACCACACAAGCATCCCTCCATTGTCTTTATCTGTGTACTTGGTAGCACCTGAGGAAAAATTAATTATTTTCAATATGATAGCTTTTTACTTATATCCCAAGTAAACACAAGCAAATTTTCATTTGTTTCAGTATAATACCTGCAAGGAAGGACAAAGACACAAGAAAACAGCATGAAGAAATTTACATCAAACACAGTAAATCACCTGGTTGTGGAAATGAAGGAAACTGTGGTGAACATTCTGCTCCCACTTTAAAAGACTCTCTGTCCACCTGAGAGATGTGTCTAACTCATCTGGCTTTCTTTATGCTAGGTAGGGCTCTGCATTCAAAACTGACCTTTCCCCTACAGAACCCCTGCCTCACTGTGCACGACTTGTATTTTATCTCATCCCTAAGTCTGCCAGCTTCCTCTGGAAACTTAATTTCATTACACTCCATATTTATAAAAAACATGTGCTCCAAGTCAAGGGCATAAGAGCTAACACAATTTCTTCTTCACATGATTGGGTTAAGTCTAGAAACACACTGTCTCATGTTATAATCTATAAAGTCCAAAACATCTAGCCTCATTAATGTAAGTTGAAAGTGAACCCCATGAATGAAAGCCTGCACAGGTAACCCAGGGCTACTTCATGCCTGTAGATACTTTTAATTAAGCAGGAGTCTTTCTGGCTTCTACTCAATCCTTAGGCACAAGTTAGTCAAGTGTTAACCTGTTAAGCGCTGCTGCCATGCTTTAAGATCACTGTTCTTCATGTGGAAGATAGCTATTTACCACAAACAGCCAGAATTTCAAATTAGCCACAGAAAATATTAATAGAATTCTGAGGTTAAACTGTTATTATTATAAGGTATTTGGAATAGAGGCATTCCTTGCTACAATTTGTTTACAGAGACGTTAGTTATGGGTCAATAATTTACTTCAACTTGGAGAATCATCATATACTACTACTAAATGTTTGGTGAGAACTTTTAGTTGGAAGAATCATACTAATAAAACATGATTTTAAACCTATGTTTTATGATCTGAAAGATTAAGGATGGTGAATAGGTTATCTAACTATTAGGAAAAAAAAACACAACTACACAAATATAGTTAAAAGCAAAACCTTTGTGTTGTGTTGTGTCTTTAAGAAAAAGGTGACAAAAAGAGGAACTTAAAATTTTTACAAAAAAATCCGAGTCAGAAATTTATTAAAATGTATAGTCAATGAAAATAAGCTTTGAAATATTCTTTAAAAATTGGTATAAATCTGTAATCCTATTGTTTGGGAGGCAGAGGCAGGAAGATTGGGAGTTCAAGGCCAGCCTGCGTTACAGAGAAACCCTGTCTCAGACTAATCTCCAGCATCCACAGGGTGTGTGGTGTTGCACACTCAGAAGCAGATGACTACTCAGCAAGATCTGGGGTTTGAAGCAGGCTTCTGTATTACATTTAGTGAAAAATCTTTCAACCAATCAAGGAAGCCAACAAAATGCCAAACAATAAGGTTAAAAAAGAAAACCAAACAAAACTAAAATAAAACACTTGCAATATTAAGAGATTTAATTCTTAGTCATGGGCCTGACAGGTTAAAAACCAAAACAACCAAAGCTTATTAAGGCCAAAGTCAAGTAACTCAATGGAAACCAAACAAATGCCACTCAAGCCTTTACCTTAGAAAATCAAATGTTTCCAGTGAATATCCTAACTTCTATGCTTCATCAAGGAACTGATACTTTTTACACGATTGCATAAAATTGTGACAATAAGATCATTTGTGCTACAATGATAAATGTGTTTTCTTGCACCCTGTTTTTTTTTTTTTTAACACCCTTTCACATTAGTATGTGTGGTGCTGTGTACATGCCATAGACTATGTATGGCAGGTAGAGAGAGAACCCATGCTTGGTGGCAAGTACCTCTTTCCACTGAGCCATCGCTCCAGTGTGGACCTCATCAGGAATTACACAAAGTCTAATGTGTCTCATTAAATAGCTCTTCTTAGACAATCATCTTTTCCTCCATTTACAATACCAGTTATGATTTTCCCCCCAAATTTTCTGTATTGGAATTAAGGGTCTGATATGATGAATCCATTGTCCCCTTCTTGAGGACACTGACTGCTCTTCTAATGTGGGATGATAGGGGTGTTTATGTAAGTGACCTGACAATGGAGAACGCCCAAGTAGGCATTTCACAATGTTAATTATGGACCCCCTACCTTTTCAATTATACATCACCTGTCAACTAGGCCCAAGAAATAATGATGTTTACAGGAAAGAGTACAGATTACAGATTTCAGACTCCTAGTCACGGCAAGAGTGCCACCTTGGAGATCTCTTCTTGTGTCTCAGTTCCCCTCATCTATAATAACAAGGAATATGTAAGTATCTACTTAAGGGCTGCTCAAAAGGAAAGTCAGTAAGTTGATTATGTACACACACACAGGACAGTCAACTACTAAGATACAAAGTAATCAACTACTAAGATACAAAGTGATCAACTACTAAGATACAAAGTAATCAACTACTAAGATACAAAGTGGTCAACTACTAGGATACAAAGTAATCAACTACTAAGATACAAAGTGATCAATTACTAAGACACAAAGTGATCAATTACTAAGATACAAAGTAATCAACTACTAAGATACAAAGTGTATCGAGTAAGGGAGGCTTTCTAGCCTAGGGCAAAGTGCAAAAACAGCAATCTGTCACTTTCTAAGACTGCCTTTGAGAGATGAGAGGACTTTGGTGCACAAATATATTAAGCTAAGATTTTGGATCGTGACATAGAAACATGAACAAATTATGTGTGGTAGATGTATATATGTGCACAGGCACGTGCCTGTGCATGCATTCACAAGTCATGTGGTGGTCAGAAGTCAGCAGAGTGTCTTCTCTCAGGCTCTTGTATTTTTATTTTTTTTCTAAGACAGGGTCTATGTAGCCCTAGGTGTCCCAGAACTCACTGTCACTATGTAGACCAGATAGGCCTCAAATTCACAAGTGATCCACCTGCCTCTGCTGGAATCAAAGACATTCACCACCAGACCACATGACTACAGACATTTTTCTTTTTGGACAGGATTTCTCACTGAACCTAGAACTGACTGCTTCCCAGAAATTGGCATGCCCTGCCATATCTGACTTTTCTGTGGTGCCAAGAGTCTGAGCTGAGGTCCACATACTGTGGGGTAAGCACTCAGTCTGCTGCGCTATCTCACCAGCAGTGTAAGTTTTAAGGGATTCAACTTTCAGACTTGTAAGTTTCTTATTCTCTTTTTCAACATAATCTGCCTGAAAACCCACCTGCAACCTAAGCGATACTGTAGTCTCCCCAGTATCTGAGGCTCCAGTTTCTATCAACTGTAGTTGGAAAATACTAAATGGCCACACCCAGAAATGAAGAACACACAAGTTTAAGCTCCACACCAGTCTGAATGGCATCCCGAACTTTCACAGATTCACTCAGGGATGCCTAGGAAACCTGTAACCCTGTATGCAAGGAGGACCACAGTGTGGACAGGCTAGCAGTAAATGCCCTCTCATGTCAAACAAGCATGTTTCTTACCTCACAGAGACAACATTTCCTAAAAATGTAAAACTCCCAAGCTCTCCTTTATGGAGGAAACCACAACTACTGCAGTTTTAGTCAATTATGCACTAACTCAAGCCAGGAGAGACTTAACACCTGGAACTTTATGTTCACGAGGACGCCTCATGAAAAGCTGGACATATGTGAAGGAGTAGAGGAGTTGGGCAGGCCATCAACACAGCACTTTGTAAGTGTCTGTCTCAGTGTACACAAGCCCCTGTGGAGGCCAGAGGAAGACATCAACAGGGCATCCATGTCTTCCCCTATCGATTTCTGCCTCTTTGTCATGAGAGAGTCTCTCATTGAACTCGAAGCTTGACATATGTCATGACTGGCTGGCCAGGAGCTCCCTGGATCTGCCCGCCTCTGGCTCCCATGGCTGGGTTACGGGCATGTGCAGCCAGCTCTGGCTTTTTTTGTAGATGTGGGTGATTCAGAACCAAGTCCTCTTGCCAGCACAGCAAGTATTCTTACCAATGGAGCTATCTCCTCAGTCCCCAATAAAGCACTTTTAAGTATGCAAATATATCATGGGGGATTCTGTGGGGAATATGCCCCAAAATGACTTCAAAGACAAAAAGAAAACCTATGTATTTTATAAAATGGATACTGTCACATTGATGTTTATATATAAATAGATGAATTTAAAAATAAAGAATATAATTTTATTTCAAAGTATTAATATTTTAATATACCAAAGATTACATTCTTCATCAGTTATTTAATTCAGCAACAATTAAGAAATGTCAACTTTAAAATATGTGACTCTTAGTCTCTTCAAACTTCTTTTATGGGTCTACGAGTCACTGCTTTGTGGGTATTTTCACGTAATCTTGTGATATTCTTAACAGTCTCCCTTTTATGAACAAGAAAACAAGCCTCCAGAGGTCAGGCAGTTCATCTCTGGTAACTAGCTGTACCTCAGAGACTTGAAGGCAAACGGCCACCCAGCAAAGCTACTCCTCAGGGAAGGCACAGTTAGGTAGTAAAGCCAAGAACTAGTAAAACAACTGATTTACAACTGATAACCTTCCAAACTAGTTAACAATTAATTTACAACTGAGTGGATAGCCATCAGAAATCCAGTTAGAAAGACATCAGCATGACTACTAAAGGTAACTGCCCCCAACCCAAAAAATGATTGACAAGTGAAAGATAACAATCAGAATTCCAGTTAGTAACCCATAAAGACATCAGCATGACCACTTAAGGTAAACTTTCCCTACTGGTCAAGCTTCAGGAACCCAATACAAACCTCAACTCCACCTGCTGGGGGTCTGTTTGTCCCCGGTGTCTGAGCTGTAATGGTGGCTCAACTTCTATGCTGTCATTTCTACATCACCGCCACTATCTCCTAAAATCTCCTACTTTTCTATGCTCTCATCACAATATTCCCAGCACCTAAGGAATTTTTCTTCCAATGGACTTACAGCTAAGGCTGTAGCGAATAGTTTCCATAAAAGTTTCCATTAAAGGTGTGGGGTGCACACCTTTAATACCAGCACCGGGGAGGCAGAGGCAGGGGGGATGAGTTCTAGAACAGCCATGGCTATGTGGAGAGAACCTATCTTGAAACAAGAAAAACAAACAATTGCACGAAAGGGGGGGGTAATGAAGGAGAAGAAGAGAGCTTACTTACTTCTCAGTTTCACTGAGTAATAAGTCCCCTTCCCTTCTATTATCTTTTCCACAGCAACACTTATAGCAAGTCAACAAGAAATAAAACCTTTGCAAAATAGTAAGATAGTACAACCCAGAGTAGAACAGCAGCAAGAGGCACAGGGAGCTGAGTTTCCTGGAGAAAAAACATCTTAATGATTCACATAGCTGTATCCTTGACTACACTGTTGAGCAGAGAATAAGTGAATCTAGGCAATATGAGGTTTATCCTTATTGTATTAAGAATACCAGTTATAGTTAGTGTAGATACATTGGAAATTCTAATTAAGAAACAGTAACATTTCACTGGAGGGGGAGAGGTTGTCACCTTTCACAAACGTTCTATGTAGGCGGAATAAGTAAATCCAAATGATGGGAATAGTCCACCTAAATAGATGGACTATTCTCCCCAGTTTGAAATTTGTTGTACGATTTATACTTAAAATGACAGATGTTTTGGTGCTGGCGTACATACAAGCCCCCCACCACTGCACACAACCAATGGGAAAACACATTGACCGAAATCGACCTAATTGGGCAGAAAGATAGGTGTATTTATGGCATGATTCAGCTGCTGAGTGCCATCTGGAAATGACTTCACCAATATTAAAAAAAAAAAAAAAACAAAACAAAAACAACTGAGTCCCAATGAAAGCTCCAAATAGTTCTTCATAATTATGAAATCTAATCTTTACTGAGTAACTGCCATATGCCTAGTCATTTAATCCTGGCAAGAACTCCACGCAATAGCTTTTTACAGCTAGGAAAACTGAAGCTCAGGGAAGGCCAGTGACTTGCTCAGAGCACAGAAACAGGAGTTGAGAGTTAAATTCCGTCTGTGCTTAGGCGAAGGTATCTTCTTTCCAAATGTCTAACTAAGCCCCGAAGCACCTTGGTAATGTGAAGGAATCCACCTACTAGCTAGCTATGCCAACAAGAAGAATAATTTTCACACACACACACACACACACACACACACACACACACACACACACAACTTAGTACTATTGGAAGCCCACCACGACAAAATTATTCCAACAGCTGTGCCACTCTGAAGGCGACCCAAATCCGGTGAGCACTCCGATGTCAATCACCAAGTTGAAGGGAACTTGTCCTGATCACCACTTCACCCTTTTCCCTGCAGAGAGGGGCTGTTATCTAGACTGGTAAATATCACATATCGCATTGTCCCGACGGGAACAAGGATCGAACCCCCCTAGACCCTTACGACTAAATAGACACGACTGTTTTCCTTGTAAGATTACAGGTAAGCCCCGTGCATATAGCTTAAAGACAACTCGGGCGGCTGACCCTGGCAATGCTGTTAGAATGCGCTCTGAACAAAAACCGACTGCAGGGAAAGTGGGAGGGCGGCCCAGGCAGGGCAGAGCCCAGCGAGCGAACGAGCGGCGAGTCTGGCTGGGTTAGAGCAACCGAGCACTCCAGGCCCAGAGGCTCCAACAAGGGCGCCTCCATATGCGGAACTCTCGCCCAATCCCCGAGCAGCCTCGCATCCCGTGACCGCCGGGGAGCCTGTTTGGAGAAAAGTAGAGAGGGAGCCCGCAAGCTGCGCTGGCGGAGGGCGCTGGAACCTGGCTGCTCCGGAGAAAATGTCTCCTTGGCAGCC